TATATAGACCCTTTCCAGAAAAGTAGAATATCATGGAAAAGTTGTTTATAAATGTTAAATGGACTGTACTTATACAGCACCTTTCTATCTTATTTCAAGACACTCAAAGCGCTTTACACTACAATCTGTGCCTCATTTACCCATTCATACAGCAGTCTAGTAGATCTCTACAAAGCTAATTGAACAAATCATTCTAATGAGACTAATCAGTGCTTTAGGTCACATTCATACACTGATGGGACACACATCAGAGGCTATAAAGGGTTCAGTTTCTTGCCCAGGGACACTTCAGCATGTGACTGCTGGTGGATTCGAACCCCCAACTCTCGCATTGGAGGACGACTGCTCTAACCACTCAGCCACAGATGCCCCCTTTATCTTCCATTATTCCATTCAAAAAGTTAATCTTTAATATATGATAGATTCAGGGCCCACAATTTAAAAAATTTCTAGTATTTATTTAATTTGGGCTTCCAGCTCATGAAACCCACGAAAACAGGAATTCAAAAAATTAGAATACTGTGGAAAAATCAGCCCAAATTTTGCAGGACATGAATGTTTTAAACTGAGCGTGACACACTATTCATCTACTAAATTCAAAGCACCTGCACAGGTTTCCGCAGGTGTCATTAAATTGCTTCAGTTTGGTTCAATTGTCTCAGTTTGGTTCAATATGGGGAAGACTGCAGATATAACTGACCAGAAGACCATCGTTGATACCCTCCATAGGATGGGTAAGCCACAAAAGTTCATAACTAATGAAGCTGGCTGTTCACAGAGTGCTGTGTCCAAGCATATCAATGGAAAGTCTAGTAGTGGAAGGGCAAAATGTGGCAGGAGAAGATGCACCAGCAAAAGAGATGACTGTGGGCTTCAGCGGATTATCAAACAGAGAAGATGCCATAATCTGGCAGAGATCCAGAAAGAGTGAAATGAGGCGGGAGTCACAGCTTCAAAAACCACCACGTTCAGACGCATCCGGGAGATGGGCTACAACTGTCGGGTTCCTCTGTCCTCTTTTCCGATGAAAATAAAATGTGCCTTTCATTCGGAAATCAAGGTCCAAGGTTTTGGAGGAAGAAGGGTGATGAACAGAACCCATACTGCTTGAGGTCCAGTGTGAAATATCCAGTCAGTCATGATTTGGGGTGCAATGTCCAGTGCAGGTGTTGGTAAACTCTGCTTTCTTAAATCCAAGGTCACCGCAACAGTCTACCAGAATGTTTTAGAGGACTTCATGGTTCCTTCTGCTGAGGATCTGTATGGAGATGGAAATTTCATCTTCCAGCAGGACCTGGCACCTGCCCATGCTACCAGAAGCACCAAAACCTGCTTTGATGCCCATGTCACAGTGCTTGACTGGCCAGCCAACTCGCTGGACTTAAACCCCATTCAGAATCTATGGGGTATTCTCAAGAGGAAAATGAGGGGCACCAGACCCACCAACAAAGAAGAGCTGACAGCATCAAGGAAATCTGAGCTTCCATAACTCCCAGTCAATGCCACAGGCTGATTGACTCAATGACACGTCACATCGAGGCCGTGATTAAGGCTAAGGGATTTCCAACCAAGTATTGAAGATTGGCATATTGTTTTGAAAGTACCATATTTTGATTGATTTGTTGTAATCCTAATTTTTTTTCTTTTTTTTCAGCAAAAACTAATAAGTAGTGTGGGCTGATTTCTTCACAGTATTCTAATTTTTTTGAATTCCTGTTTTCGTGGGTTTCATGAGCTGTAAGCCCAAATTATGTAAAAATAAACAAATAAATACTTGAAGTCATTTAAATTGTGGGCCCTGAATTTATTATCTATTAAAGATGAACTTTTTGAATTGAATTATGGAAGTTAAACAACTTTTCCATGATATTCTAATTTTGTTGAAAGGGTCTGTATATGTATATGTATATATATATATATATATATATATATATATATATATATATATATGGCACTGTTTTGTATGAAAACCCAGTGACAAGGATGCCTGCAGCACCATCACTATGTTATGACGTCACGTGTGCCATTGAGTTTAGATTTGTGAAAAATTACAAATTTGCACTGTTCGAATGTTGTCATTGTGTTAGAGAGTAAGTGTCAAGAATAAATCTGACATTAAACATAATCCAAGTTGAAGTGTTACATCAATTTCAGCTCCCTTTTTGGCATCTGCATTTGGTAGCAGGCCAAATTGACAAAGACCATGCAGAATAATGTAGTATTTTAATTGCACGGCAGAGAAAGCTATGTACGATAGTCTCTGCAAGTAGATCTAGGAAAAAAAAATATTGGTAATGGTATCTGTTATCAACTAAATAAGTTTTAACATATCGGCATATCTTATATCGTCCAATAATCGAATATCGTGCAACCCTATGCTATGAATGCTATTTTATGCAAGTATAGCTCAACAAATATACTCCCCTGTCTCATCAGTTGTTTTCCTTTTTTCTCCTGTTTGATCAAACCAGGTCCCCACTATACTGAATGCACTACAGAGGAGTGTACAGGCTGTCCTTGTGGGCAAGATTCAGATCCAGGATTGGTTTGGAAATGGAATCAAACGTGCTGCTTTGATGAACAAATGGGTCCTGAAAGAAGTGACCATTGATGAAGATGAGCACTGTCTTCTACAGACAGATGGTTCATTTCTGTATTTGCTCTGCAAGGACGGGCTCTACAAAGTTGGATCTGGGTATAGTGGCACTGTCAGGGTATGTGATCTCCAAGCCTCATGCAGATTTTGTCAGGTTATTGTTCTGTACATCAGGGTTTGTCGTTTGGTGTCCATTTCTCACAGGGCCATGTGTACAACTCCACGTCTCGAATCAGGAATCGAAAGGAGAAAAGGTCGTGGCTAGGGTTTGCTCAGGTATGTAGTGTAGGCTGGCATTAAACGCAATAAAAAACGCTTTAAAATGTTTTTACTGCCTTTAAAGTTAATGTTTATGTCACATGTTGCAAGTTTCAAAGCTGAAGAATTATAAAAATGAAAATTTATTGTATAATTAAAAAACTAAATTTTTTTTGTTCTTATTATCATGTTAGTCAGCAGTTATGTTTGTGCTGTGTCTTCAGGGGTACTTGCTGTATCGGGACACGAGCAACCACAGCATGTCGGCCATCAAGATCAACCCTGAGACTCTAGAACATGAGGGCGGGGTCACCATGCCTGGTACTGAGAAAACCCCTTCCTCATTAAAAATGTAATGGAGGTTGAGTAAAGTAAAATGACAAGGTCTTCACTTTGTTTCCCTGTAGATCAACATTCAGATGGACAGAACATCATCTTTACAGACGGAGAGTACATAAACCAGATTGCAGCCTGCAAAGATGTAAGTTTTAATGTTCCTGCATTACACATGGTTAAAAATGTCATTATTTCTGTTGTTTAAGGCTTTTAATAAACTGAAGCAGTTTGTCTGGTGAATGCTGCTCAGCATGTTTGTGTATAAACCACGTTTTAAAATGAACAAACTCTCCGCTTGCAGTCTCCTTTTGTTAGTTAAATTAAGGTTTGTTGTTTCTCAACTTGCTCTCAAGCACATCTGTGACTATGACGTCGTCGATCCCCCTCTCATCACCAGCTGTGCCACAGGGGGAGATGTAGCCGTGTCTGTTCATACATGTGCGTTGTGTATGTGTGTGGGCGTGACGATGAGGGCAGTGTTACCACATGTGGGCATTCTCCAGAGACCTTAATCTCACAAGCAGTTATTTGCATAAACAGCCTATTGTGAGTGGGGGAGGGGCATCTGTAAAAATTTATAGATCTGCTGTCGCAGTAAGAGTTTTACTAGACTAATCAAGGAGTCGAGGACTGGTTGTGGTGGTGTATTTGCTCTGTGTTTGCCTAAAACATACTTTATGCCTTACATTCTTTCTTTTTATCGTTGAGTGTCATTTTTGTTGTTTTCTTTCCTGTAAATAGTTGATCTTATCTACACCTCCTGCACTCTGACCAAGTTGCATTTCTACCAATAATATAATTTTTAAGAAGGCAGGGCTGACAGATTTATTTATTTACCTACAAAACATTGGTCAAAGTGTGGGTGGAGGTGCTGTTGTCACTAAAATATTCAACATGTATGGATTTCAGCATACTAAGATACAACTTGTACCTGATGTGCTGCATTGATGGACCTTTTGCCTGTCTTCATGAAAGTGGGGGGGGGGCAATCATGGAATTGCATGTGCCTGTTTGTCAGTCTGTTAGCAAAATATCTTATGAACCCCTTCTTGGGGGTTAATGGTTTTCGGCCATACCACGCTGAACTCGCCCGATCTCGTCTGATCTCGGAAGCTAAGCAGGGTCAGGCCTGGTTAGTACTTGGATGGGAGATGGCCTGGGAACACCAGGTGCCGTAAGCTTTTAGAGGCCAAGACGGTGTAGGGGTAGGGCAGACGACTTGGGACCAGAAAGTTGCAGTTTCAAGTCCTTGCATGCAGTGGTGTAGTCTATGCGATACGTGGGTATACGGAGTATACCCATTAGAAAAGCTTCGGAATTACAGTATACCCACTTAAAAGTGCCCAATGATATGTGACATACCATTGGGCGTGTGTCATTGTCAACACATTTGGAACATTTTATAGACCACTGAGTTAGTTCAACCTGTTTTTGTATAATTAAAACTTCTGTACTTACTACTTATGTTTTGCTTTGATACTGTTTTATAAATTCTATAACATGTTTTTAATACAAAACCAACTGTTGTACAAGTTTGTTGTACATTTATTCAAATATAAGTATCAGAGAAATTTTGAAATGTATATGCTTAATAATCAAAATAAATTGACAATTACATTGTACTAACCTAAAAAAGTTAAGTCTGGTCCTCCGGACATTCAAAAAACAAAACAAAGTAAAACTAACAAAAAAATATATAGAAACGTGTTGTCTTTCATATGAAAGACTTCTTCAGTCTGAGGTGCTGTATTCAGCTCAGTCTTATAAATAGCACCTTCTCAGAGTGGATCAACCAGTTTGAGAAGGTGCATTGTGACTTTATAACACCTGACAGTGTCACTTATAAAACAAAATCGGTATCGGCCAAAATCGGAATCGGCAGGTCAGACTTTTTAGAAATTGGTAATCGGCCAGAAAACTGCAATCGGTGCACCTCTACACCTAATCCCTAACTGCTCTCCGGGCGCTTACATATCTGCCCACTGCTCCACCTGGGTGTATCTCAGGTGTGATGGGTTAAATGCAGAGAACACAATGATGACACACATAGCACTTTTATTATTATTTTTTTATTATCATAAGCTTAAACAAAATTCTCAGAGCAGCTGTCATTGGACATATGTAAACAACTGATTACCCCATTCAGGGTCAACCTCAGCAGATACAACAGAGGCTACAACTGAGCCAAATTTAGGCCCTTAGTAAAATTTAATAACAAAGATTTTTTAACTAAAAATTCTGTGGTTATAGTGCAGAGGCATAACATACTTTACTCCTAATGCTAACAGATAATGTAATAATGCAACGTTACTGACTACTATTACTGATGTAATAACTTTGTTTGAAACTGTGGCAACCCAAATTTTTAAATTTATGAATGGTTTGTTAAAAGATCAGTGACTCCAAAATAAATTTCTTCAAATTTATATCATAAATGCCATCAGTTAAGTATGTTAATACATTTAATGTGTTTGTCCTTATTCTAATACAAAGTATGGATATATATTTTCTTTAAACCAGATGTATTTTATATTTTATTGAATCTAAATGTCAGTTTTGTGTCCCCCCTCTCTGCAGGATGGTTTTGTTGTACGGATCTACACCATGAGCTCAGACCCGGCCCTACAGCAGGAACTGCAGCTGAAGCTGGCAAGGAAATGTCTGCACGCCTGTGGCATTTCTCTCTTTGACCTTGAAAAAGATCTACACATTATCAGTAAGTTATGCAAAATGTGTAAATATTAGTGAAACTTTAGTGACAGTCATGTGGTACTGTGCATCTGGTTCTTTGTATTGTATCTGAAAAGGGTTCAAAATATGTTAGAAATTATTCAAAGGATCAAAAACAGTGTGCTCACCAACCTGAGGTTCTAAATGTTTTATTGTTTTTCCAGGCACTGGCTTTGATGAAGAGGCAGCATTGATTGGAGCAGGCAGGGAGTTTGCTCTGATGAAAAGTGCCTCAGGAAAGGTTAGTGGATGGTTTTCGAAAATATTGACCAATGGTGAAAGTTAGTGCGATTAAAATGGTTAAACTAGGAACCATAGGAGCTTTGATCTTCATAATGATTAACTAGGCCGAGCAGAGAGTAAACAGGTCAGGGTGCAGAAGGCTTAATATAGATTGTGTTCCTGCATATTTTTTCCATGTACAGTGACCACTTAAACACTTTAGTTTGTAATATCAGTGAGCACTAAGCCAGAATCAAATCCCTCCAGACTGTTTTTAGGATTTTCACATATCTGAAGTTCTTAGCAAAATTGTCTCTAAATAAAATAGGATTAAATAGCTGTTCTCTAAACTCATGACTGTGTGTGTGTGTTTAATCCAAATTTTACTAGTGATCATATGCATACTGCACTTGAGAAGGTCATCATTAATAAACAAATATTTAACTCTTGACCCTTGTAGTTTCTGTAGTAGAGCTAGTCACTGCTTTAATGTACTGCTTTGTTGAAGTGGATATTTTACATACTTTGGACAATAGCTTTAAAAGTTGTGAATGCAAACTATGCAGATGGTTCAGGGTGTGTTTCAGGGTGTGGTTGTTTGTGCGTTTACTGTAGGTGTGGTGCAGTTCTTTCAAAGATAGCAGTCCAGGGTTGCTGCTGCTTCACATTTTACGTGTCTGAAAGGGTTAAGTCTTTTAGCGCACCTTATCAGCAGATTATCTGAACCCTGACTGGCTTAATGTGCAAAAATAAAATGAGCAGCTGAGCTGTATTTTCTTTTTGTTTCATCATTCAGACTTAGCATAAGACCAGCTGTGTAATGTAATGATAAATAAATGTTAAATGTGATAATGGCTTACAGAGAATGGCTCGTTCTCATTCGGTGCTTTTGGAAATATATTGTTTATAAATTTAAATTAAAGTAAAAATAAAACACTCTGCTGTGGACCTTGCATTTTTAAAAGCTTATCTTTTCTCAAGGATTTTTGTTTAACCTGACAATATTGTGCATTAAGGTCCTTTTTAAGAGTTCACTTTTGATATAATGGAAATTGTCCTTAAAAAGAAAAATCATAGTTTTGTTTAGTAAAAAGCATTTTCAATAGTTTACTTGGAATTTCTCAGCATGTAATCATTTTGTGTTGTTTTTCTACTGTATGTGTTTGACCATGTTTTATTTTTGTTTTAGATCTACTACACAGGAAAATACCAAAGCCTTGGAATAAAGCAGGGTGGCCCATCTGCAGGAAAATGGGTGGAACTGCCCATCACCAAATCTCCTAAAATTGCTCAGTTCTCCGTTGGCCATGATGGTTCTCATGCCCTCCTAGTAGCTGAAGATGGAGGCGTTTTCTTCACAGGCTCTGCCAGCAAAGGAGAGGACGGAGAGTCCAGTAGGACACACTTTTTACTTACCTGCACATATTTTTCATTTACTTTCATTGGATGATTGTTAAATATTGAATGTGACAAAACTCGTCTGCTGATTTGAAAGTAATGTCTAGTTTGCTTTTGCAGCTAAAAGTCGCAGACAGCCAAAGCCATACAAGCCCAAGAAGATAATCAAATTAGAGACGAAAACAGCTGTGTCTACAGCATGCAACAATGGCAGCAGCAGCATTGTTACAAAGGATGGAGAGCTCTACATGTTCGGCAAAGATGCTATTTATAGTGACAGCACCTGTAAGTTGACAGGACGGTTAGATTTTTCAGCTTCACAGAGCTTTTTTGAATTTCAGTATATCTCTATTTTATACAGCTTTTTCTGTGAAGACAAAATTGATGTTTCTCTTTAGATAAAGAAGAAATTGTTTTCATCATACTTACTTTATGTGTCTCCGCAGGCCAGGTAACAGACCTCAAAGGTCATTTTGTAACTCAGGTTGCCATGGGTAAGGCTCATACATGCGTCCTGACCAAGAATGGAGAGGTGTGGACATTTGGGGTGAACAACAAGGGCCAGTGTGGCAGAGACACTGGAGCCATGAGCCAGGCAGGGAAAGGTACACATGTACAAACAAACACTCTTATTTATGTGATTATTTTTCTTCTACTTGCATACATATTTTTTAGGCCACTCTCATCCAGTTTGTTTTACTGTGTTTATGTGAATTTTTTGTGCAGCGTTTGGTGTAGAAAACATGGCCACAGCCATGGATGAGGACTTGGAGGATGAGCTAGAGGAGAAGGAGGAGAAGAGCATGATGTGCCAGCCAGGCATGCACAAGTGGAAGCTGGACCAGTGTATGGTTTGCACTGTGTGCGGAGACTGCACTGGCTATGGTGCCAGTTGTGTCAGTAGTGGACGACCAGACAGAGTACCAGGAGGGTAAGTGGCAACAGCAAGAAGTGGAAATCAATAAGAAGTTATTTCATTAGCTGGAAGGTATCTTTATCTATTTTTGAGTTAAACTCTTTAAATAATGAATCGTATTCTGTATTTTTGTGTCTACCAGTATCTGTGGGTGTGGGTCTGGAGAGTCCGGCTGCTCAGCGTGTGGTTGTTGTAAAGCCTGTGCCAGGGAGCTTGATGGCCAGGAGGCCAGGCAGAGAGGTATCTTTGATGCTGTGAAGGAGATGATTCCACTGGATCTGCTGCTAGGTATTTGCTCACCAACAACATTTGACTATAAATCTTGTTTTTCTACATGCACAGCAACAAATGCAGGTATTTCCTTTTTTTAAATTTATTTATACAATTTTATTGACATTTATAAATATATTTAACATAATTAACATTTAATTCTTCAATTATTAGTAGAGTATCAATTTAAATGTTTTTTAACAAGAAAAAAACAACAACAACAAAAAACAAACAAAAAAAACCTAGTTAAAAAAACACTAATACAAAGGGAGTGAAAGTGGTTTTTGTTACAGTCAATATATCTTTCAGAAATGTAGGTCTCTGGTCTACGTGATTTTATATAAACCATCCATTTCTTCCAGCGTAGAATAAATTGGTCCAAATGCAGGTATTTCCAAGTACACGTCATTTTGGTTTATGCTTGTGTACCAATGACACATACAGGTCCTTCTCAAAAAATTAGCATATTGTGATAAAGGTCATTATTTTCCATAATGTAATGATAAAAATGAAACTTTCATATATTTCAGATTCATTGCACATCAACTGAAATATTTCAGGTCTTTAATTGTTTTAATACTGATGATTATGGCATACAGCTCATGAAAACCCAAAATGCCTGTCCCAAAAAATTAGCATATCATGAAAAGGTTCTCTAAACAAGCTATTAACCTAACCATCTGAATCAACGATGTAACTCTAAACACCTGCAAAAGATTCCTGAGGCTTTTAAAAACTCCCAGCCTTGTTCATTACTCAAAACCACAATCATGGGTAAGACTGCCGACCTGACTGCTGTCCAGAAGGCCATCATTGACACCTTCAAGCAAGAGGGTAAGACACAGAAAGAAATTGCTGAACGAATAGGCTGTTCCCAGAGTGCTGTATCAAGGCACCTCAGTGGGAATTCTGTGGGAAGGGAAAAGTGTGGCAGACAACGCTGCACAACGAGAAGAGGTGACCGGACCCTGAGGAGGATTGTGGAGAAGGGCCGATTCCAGACCTTGGGGGACCTGCGGAAGCAGTGGACTGAGTCTGGAGTAGAAACATCCAGAACCACCGTGCACAGGCGTGTGCAGGAAATGGGCTACAGGTGCCGCATTCCCCAGATCAAGCCACTTTTGAACAAGAGACTGCATCAGAAGCATCTCGCCTGGGACTGCTGCTGAGTGGTCCAAAGTTATGTTCTCTGATTACAGTAAATTTTGCATTTGCTTTGGATATCAAGGTCCCAGAGTCTGGAGGAAGAGAGGAGACACAGAGTTCACATTGCTTGAGGTCCATTGTCAAGTTTCCACAGTCACTGGGGTGTCATGTCATCTGCTGGTGTTGGTCCACTGTGTTTTATCAAGCGCAGGGTCAATGCAGCTAGCTATCAGGAGATTCTGGAGCACTTCATGCTTCCATCTGCTGAAAAGCTTTATGGAGATGAAGATTTCATTTTTCAGCACGACCTGGCACCTGCTCACAGTGCCAAAACCACTGGTAAATGGTTTACTGACCATGGTATTACTGTGCTCAATTGGCCTGCCAACTCTCCTGACCTGAACCCCATAGAGAACCTGTGGGATATTGTGAAGAGAAAGTTGAGAGACGCAAGACCCAACACTCTGGATGAGCTTAAGGCCGCTATCGAAGCATCCTGGATCTCCATAACACCTCAGCAGTGCCACAGGCTGATTGCCTCCATGCCACGCCGCATTGAAGCAGTCTTCATGCAAAAGGATTCCCGACCAAGTATTGAGTGCATAACTGAACATGATTATTTGAAGGTTGGCATTTTTTGTATTAAAAACACTTGTCTTTCATTGGTGGGATGAAATATGCTAATTTTTTGGGACAGGCATTTTGGATTTTCATGAGCTGTATGCCATAATCATCAGTATTAAAACAATTAAACACCTGAAATATTTCAGTTGGTGTGCAATGAATCTGAAATATATGAAAGTTTCATTTTTATCATTACATTATGGAAAATAATGACCTTTATCACAATATGCTAATTTTTTGAGAAGGACCTGTACAGTGGCTGCAGCTCAGGGTGTAGAGGCAGAGTGGTCAGGTTTCTCTAAGAATGTGGCGGCATTGATCCTTATTTTTTCCCAGTTGAAAAGCATAAATATTCTTGTGTGATACTCAAACCAGTGTTGTGGACACGTATGTCTTATATGAATAAAAATATATTTAAAATCTCTTGTAGTAAAGAACAGATTGGCTAAAAATAAGCATGCCGATTTATTACTTCACCCACTGTTATCTGTATTCTGCCTTTCCAGAATAGTTCACTCTCTTCTGGATGGAGCAGAGCTGCACAGTTGTGGAGCACACAGCTCCACAGATCTGCAGTTGGTCCAATTTTCCATTTCTATTGCATAAAATTCTATTGTTTAATAATAATAATAGAAGGATAGTGGATGTTTATGGAGTTGCATGTTATCCTCGTTCAGTTTCAATAGTATGTAAGAGAAACCATAGCAGTTAAAAAAGTGTGCATGAAGGCAATGACATGTTTGATTAGCCTCTGTAATCCCATATTTTCAGTATAAACAAAACAGGTTTAATAATGAACCACTCTGGTAGGAAAAGTGGTTATTCTTGTGAATTTATAGGATTTCTGCAATATTCCATCTGGGTAAACGAAGCGGACCATCGTGTAATGAAACTGTGACTAACCACTAAATTAGGAGTTGCAGTTCTCAATATCATACTTGCATTTTTCTATTTAAAAAACACCAAGCGATCACTTTGCACTTCTGCACTAGAATGAATCTTGATCTCAGGATGAAACTCACAAAGTTTTATTTGTGGTGGCTGCTGCACCCTTATCAAATGCACACTTTTATTTTCCATCTTTTTTGCTCTGTTCTTTTGTCCTTGCTCCCAGTTTTTTGTACCAATCACTTAAAGCTATTACAAATCCTGTGCATGTAAAGGTTAAATGTACACAAGTAAGGTGGATTTTCCCACGACTGGTTTCAATAAGTATGCAAGTGGTCAACTTTTCAAGCTGTGCCAGCACAATGCTAACGCTACACGTATCACACTGTTGCATTCGCTGAACACCGCGCTTCACGCTCTTGTCGTTGTTTAGTCCTTGTTATGATACGCTGCACGGAGCTGTTGCTCCTGCATCACGTCTCTCCATCACTCATTGACGTTTGTCTTGTTCTGCTCTGCTCTGCTTCATCCTCTCCTCCTTCATCCTGTTTTGGGCGGCCTTTTTATGTTTTCAGCTGTGCCTGTCCCTCCCCCTCCAGGAGTGAACATCGAGGAGCACATTCAGATCCGTCAGGAGGAAAAGCGACAGAGAATCAACCGTCGCCATAGGTTGGAGGAGGGCAGAGGTATGGGCCTAAAGCTAGAGAGAAAATGGTTTGAGGAAGACTTTTCTTTTATTTAGAGTTAAATTGTGTTTGGTGAGCTCCTCAACATAGTCTCAGTTGTGATGGATGTAACAAAAAGTGAAGTATAAAACAGGATCCATCCCTTTTAGCTTCAGTTTATGTTCAGGTGCGAGCTTGTGTTGTGCCCTCCCTGTTGCTTGTGTCTACAGTGTGTGTTTGTGTATTGTGATGTAGTATTATCATGTATTTTTCCCATCTGTGAGCATTGTGCATGCATGTGAAAGTTTTTTTCTCCCCCAGGCCCCCTTGTTTTTCCTGGTCCCATTTTTATGAACCAGCGTGAGCAGGCCCTAGCCAGAATAAGACCCCTTCAAGCACTAAGGCATAAACGGGACAAGCACAAAGGTACTATGGTCTTCACTAATTCAGTGGGTGTAGAGACACCCCTTTGACCCATCTCCTAATCTGGCTGTCCCGTCCACCTCCTCTTTCACTCTGACAGAAGGAATTTTATACCTTCACCGGGTTTAATGGACCCACACAAATGCCAATACCAATTTTAAAACAAGTAAAAAAACAAGTCAAATATATTTACTTTTACTTTTTTTTCCCTGAACTTTTGGTTTAATTAATTTCCTGGTTTGGGGAGCTTTAATTAGAAAAGTAGTGTGCTTGCTCTGACCTCTGTAGAAATCGATGCATTGTCACACCTAGGCCTGTCATGATAAACAATAAATAAATTAATTGCATGATAAATTAAAATTATCGACCTCATTTTCATTCATTGGCTTTACCGTTTCTTGGTGTCTCTCTTTCTACTGAAGACACTGGATGACAAAAGGCTCAACTCCAGTGCTCTTCACTGATTCCTCCCTTTCTCTTTTCTCTTTAAAATCTGTTTTAACCGTCCAAAACCGTGTTTTTGGATCGTTAAAAGCAGCTAAGCTGAGAAGCTAAGCTACGAGCTAAACTAACAGGCTGACATCGGGAAAATCTTCCGTCTTGTCGAAGCTCCAAAATTCACGGTTGAAACCCGTGCCTTCGTCTAAAAAGTAGTTTTTCTTTGCAAAAAGAAGCTGAGAACTTGTTTACTGATTTTTTTATTAAAAGCTTTGTGTGAAAAATGATATGCTAAAGAGCTCAAACCACACTGAGCATCTGCCATTTTGAAAACTGAAGAGAGACAGCCCATGTCACATCAAGGGGCCTCCCTCCCTTTTTTCTTGGAGAGACACGCTGCTCACTCCCTCACTATCCATCCTTTGGTTCAAACAGTCTTATACTGCCATCCAGTGGTCAAAAAAGGTACTACACGCAAAACAAATCAACCAACATTTTTCTTAAATTTGACAATACCTACTAATTATTGTCAAATTTCAAACAATATTATCGTTTATTGCAATAATTTCTGAGACAATTAATTGCCCAGCAAAATTTGTTATCGTGACAGGCCTAGTTACTTCCATTGCAGCCTATTTGTTGCATTAGAGATGCAGCTGCAGCATCACAGACAAAAAGGGGGGCACTTGGGAGAGAAACATTGATGGTTGAGAAGTTTATAATCTGACCCAAATGGTTGGGTTGGTTGATGAAAAATGAGGTTTTAGATGGGAACCTTTACAGAGGACTGAAACTTTTTTTTACTCTCTTATAGTTGTTTTAAAATGATTCAGGCAGAATGATGCTTCTCATTCAGTCAGGTGGGCTGATTCAACCAGCTGGCTCACCAGTACACATACTGTAGTATGCATTGTAACATGGACGTTATTCAGTTGAAAATAAAGTGACAAACTCAGCACTAGTGCAGAAGTGTAGAGATTTAAAATAGGCGTTTATAGAGTTCGCTTACACTGGTATGATGTTTTTTATTTTTGCTGAAGTCTGCTTAAAGAGAGGCCTCTACTTGATTATGAATTTATCCCTCTACAAACAGTTTGCTGACTTTAGCTGAGACTTTACTCAGGTAAATTACTGACTGATGATACCTACTTCACAGAATCCCACTTTGAAATATCCAAACTCTTGCTTTAAAATAAATATTAATTGTATTTTTATTTTATTTGTGAAATGGTTTTAATACTCAATGTCAAAATGTACTGGTGGTCAGATGTAGCTGAGAGTGGCATTTTTTATAGTTTTCTCCTGATTTTTGATGCTTAGTTTCCTTGACTGGGTGTCTTACATATTCTATGATGGTTATTAGGAATAAAAACCTTTAAGTTTAGCTGAAAACAATCCTAGCACCCTGAATCTGTACACGGTTAACTGGTGATTTATCTCAGTGTTATGTAAAGAATTAGTTTTGCAGTGTGTGTTGAAAAACTTCTCAGTTTGAGGAACAGTTCAAAATGTTTTCTGCAAAGATATAACATTAAATTGCACAAGTTCTCAAAGCTTTTTTCTTGGTTTCAGTTTGATTAATGGGCAATCCTCATTCTTCCACAGAAAATATTTATTCTTTTTTTTTTTTATATATATTTTTAATCATCTTTTTATATTTTCTATTTGTATTTGTATTTCAGTAATTGACATGACTACAAACTGAAAAACATGCAAAACATAAACTTAAATCATTATGTACCCCTGAGACGTTGTTTGGCGCTGCTCTGGGCTGAAAATAACCCATTTTGTGAGTGGTTTTGTTTTGCAGAGGATTGTGGTTTTTACAGACCCAGCAGGGACTAGATTTATAGACCCAAGTTTAGCCCCCCATCCATCTCCACCCACTGTTTGACTGTTACCGTCTGAGGTCAGTGACCAAAGAGAGATGCAGGGTAACAGGGTGAACAGAGGCTGATGTCATCTCCTCCACCTGGATGCAGCAAACAGGCCACAGATTGTTGTTGTCTGACATTTTAAAAAGCTGAATCCTATTCATAAAGCAACAGAACATTATGTTTATTTTACATTTCTTTATCACAAGTCGGAATAAACCAGACTTCTAATTTGTTCTTAAATGCATGTTTAAAAAAATCTGTTTTTGCAGAGCACAAACCAAAACCTTCCTGCTGCAGAGGTGTTAATCCCTCCTTTCTATTTCAGCATGTTTTCTCTTTTTTCTTGTTTTCTGTTGAGTCCTTTCTTTCCTCCAGCTCTGTGTTCCTCAGGACTGTGCAGAGACACCCACCTTGGTGGTCTAAAGCTGACCATTACACTTCTTCCTCCGAATCATCTGCACTCAAGTGTACTGACTTTATTGCTTACCTTGTAGATGGTAGCAGTGAGCGTGGAGAGAAGGATGCCAGCAAAATTACCACCTATCCTCCAGGGGCCGTGCGATTTGACTGCGAGCTGCGAGCGGTTCAAGTCAGCTGTGGATTTCACCACTCAGGTAGGTTCTTCTCCCTCATATCTGCTTCTGCTCATTCAGATGGGAATTTATTCTTTATTTGTGAAATATGTCAAAAAATTGTAAGCATTTAAAAATAGAACATGTGGAGATAACATATGAGAACAGAGACAAGACGTGTCAGTCATGGTTCTGTTATCTCACAGTGGTTCTGATGGAGAATGGAGACGTCTACACGTTTGGTTACGGCCAACATGGACAGCTTGGACATGGAGATGTCAACTCCAGGTAAATGTTAAACATGTTTGAACTCCTTTTCCATTTTTAAGTAAAATTCATTTTACAATTCATGGAACGGGCTTTGGAAAATTAAATCGAGCATTATTAATTTTTTCACATAGAAAATGTATAATTATACAAATCTAAATATAAAGGGTTCTGTCAAACCATTGGACATTTTTATTGGAGCTGGAAAACCCAGCAGTTCTCAACACAAACCTCAATTAAATCAACATTCCTATGTTTAGGGGCTCTCCGACTCTGACGCAGGCTCTGCCAGGTCCAAGTGTCCAGGTGACTGCGGGCAGTAACCACACCGCGGTTCTGCTCATGGATGGACAGGTCTTTACATTTGGCAGCTTCTCGGTGAGAAAATATTTCACTAAATTTCCAAAAATAGCTCTTTCAATAAGTTCATGTCTTTTTATTCTCAGGTTTAAGTGTTTACCTGTTTACTTTCCAGAAAGGACAGTTGGGGAGGCCCATCTTGGACATGCCCTACTGGAATGCGAAGCCGTCACCCATGCCAAATATTGGTGCCAAATATGGACGAAAGGCTACCTGGATCGGTGCCAGCGGAGACCAGACGTTCCTGCGGATCGATGAGGCTCTTATTAACTCCCATGTCCTTGCCACTTCGGAGATCTTTGCCAGCAAGCACATCATCGGGCTTGTGCCCTCCTCTGTGTCTGAACCACCTCCTTTTAAATGCTTGCTCATCAACAAAGTAGACGGAAGCTGCAGAACCTTCAACGACTCTGAGCAAGAGGACCTCCAGGGATTTGGCCTTTGTCTGGACCCTGTTTATGACGTCATATGGAGGTAACTAACAAGAGTGTGGAGTAATAAAATTAAAGGATTTAACAAAGCAAGTAATACTTATAACAGTAAAATGGTCTTTTTTCAAAACATTTAAATAAATATCCTGATGCATGCTCAATAATCCAGGTAGAAAAATCCAAAAAAGTTCAATCTGGTCCTCTGGACATTCAAAAAAACAAAAAATAAAACAAAGCAAAAAAATATAGAAACGTTTCGTCTCTCATCCAAGAGACTTCCTCAGTCTGAGGTGCTGTTTTCAGCTCAGTCTCTTAAATAGCACCTTCT